CGTTCTATTAGAGGTTTTACGGTAACAAATTTTGAAAGGTAACAACTGATAAGATTTACAGTACCGGTCAAGTAGATACATATACAATAACCTGTGGAGTTTGACCATTTTCAAAAATCTGGAGCTCGACTCTCAATTTTCCAACAACTTTGAAAATTTAAAATGGTTTGAAAAAGACTCAGATTGAAAACTTTGCGCTCATAGGTTTTTTGAAAGTTCCTAGTTTCTCTGCTACTAGTTGATTTCTGAAAAACACTCTGCTATTTCCACGTTTCCAGCACAAACCGGGTCAAAAAAGGATGTCTTTCAGAAATCGGCGCATAGCTGAAAAAGTAGGGATTTTCAAAAAATTCTGTGAATGCAAAGTTTTCAATCAAGGTCTGTTTCCGACCCTCCAAAAATTTCAAAGTGGTCGGAAACAAGACAGCCGAGCTTTAGATTCTCGAAAATGGTTAAAAAACGTCGTATATTGGCAAAACAATCTGTTGTTGTATATCTTATTGACCGTTACTTTATCTTATCATATCATCACAGTTTTGCTATCAATTCTCTTCTATACTACTTACTTCTATTCTCATCTTGGTCGTTCTCCATAGCGATTGTTGTCACATTCGGCTCTTCCGGACCTCTGCAATTATCATGTCAATCATTTGGAATACTAGCAACAAAAAGTAAAACAGAAAAAGTAAAAAAAAAAAGTAAAAACGAACCTATGAGATCTTGGAGTCTTCAATGGAGTCGACGTGGCTGGTGTTGATAGGGGTCCTGCTCGTTGTTCGATGGTTTTGTAGGAATTCCTGGAAGTTTATTAGACTCATAGGTTTGGAATGGATAGGAATATCGTATTTGCTCTGATAACTCTCCCTACCCGTACACTGTAAGCTCATATCTCTCGATTCCTATGAGAGATATCAACAATTGATTGACTAATAAAACTTTGGTGATATCATGATGAATAGTTTATCAGTTAAAAAGCTTCAAACATCATTCAAAGAAACGGAGAAAATTGAGCTCAAAGTGCACGTTTAGAGTAAGATTATATTAGAGAAAATAAGGTGATTACTGTTCAAAAGTAATTAATGCCAAGAAATACTCACCAAATAGTAAAAGAGTTGTCGTTTTCCATGTTTACGGTTGGCAGAGTCAAATGAAAATGACCAATATCCGGATTCAACGAAAAGGGGGGTGGGGTGGATGGAAAAGGACGACAGGTGTAGCGATAAATGGGCGGTCTGCTGCTGTCCTTGGTCCGAGCAGACGGTGGCGATTAGCTCCTGAAGAACGTCGAACAGGAAGCATTTCAAATTAAGAGAGCACAGAGAAAACGAAATAAGGCAGAGGATACCAACAAACCAATTAGAACAGTGTCCTAATGCTTAGAAAGAACCAAGGTGAATGTGCAAAACAAGAAAGAATATAATGGAAATTGAATGAAACGTGTCGGGTGGGCCAGAGGAAGGGACAAGAGTTTGGGTGGTCCATCTAATAATGGATTAATAGGATTTCAGGTTACTGGTTCTCTGAAGTAAACAACTTTTTGCGTATGACTTTTTCGGTGGCCAGGAAATAACAGGAAAAAGAGTTTATGGGTTTCAAACGTTTTCTGAATGAAAGATTTAGAGCTCTCAGAAAAGTGCTCTGAACCCATAAATCGAGTTATTTTGTGTTTTCGTAGGATTTTCATGCACACAGAATTTTATGAGATTTTAGTAGACTAGAAACGCCGGGAAGCGTCTGCAAAGGTCCCACAATGACAAATATCGTAGTTTTTTCATTTTCGGGATTCATTTTCTCTTTTTTTATTGATTATTGTGTGGTTTTCTGCTTTTTTCCTATAAAAAAGTCGCAAAATGAAATTTTCCAACGCACGAGAATCGAAAAAAATAAATCCTGGAAATCAAAATATTGTTAAGTTGACTGCTATGGTCGTTGTGGGACCTTCGACCACAGCTCCAATGTTTCGGACCAGTATAATAAACGATGGAACTTTTGTTTTGAGCAGGCAGCGTATTTTCACGTATTTCAAAGCAGAAAACGTATACGAAAGACAGCTAATTCACAATTCTGGTGTCATCTTTTGTTCTAGAAACGTCTTGAGACAAAAGAAAAGTAAAATAGTGGTTTAAAACTCGAGAAATACATTTTTTAACCAATTTCTGGGTTTAATTAATTCAAAAAAAAAACGATTTTCAAAAAGAATTATGCCACACTTTATCATTAGTAATAATTGGGAAAACTAACAATAATAACTTACTCTGAACAGTTTGATATCCCACGAATAATTGATTTTCTTTAACTATTCGATTTATTAATACAATACCCCTCTATTCGAATGCAGATTGCTGCCGCCAACACGCGTCCGCAAACACCCCACGTCCACACTGCACACTTTTCATTCAAAAAGGCGACCTTTCGCTTGCACTCATTCCCCTGTTCACCTTTGTTTACCTTTTTCCGCCACGTTTATTCTCTGTTCTTCAGTCGCCTTTTGCTTTTTGTCCCCTGTTTTCAGGAACATTATCGATTTTCACCGATAACAGTTCAAGTTTTGCACATTCCTATCGGGGAGAAGTTATGTTTGATAAGAAAGTTTGTGAGTTTTGCAGTATTTTGGAGTTGGGAATGTGGTGTTACGATTATTTAAAAATGGCGAAAAAATTAAGAGCAGAGTTAAGTCTTGTGTTATTTTTTCTGTCTTGTTTCAAGACAACTTTAAGTGTGGGCGGAGCTTAGGTTCCTTGTAGCGGAATCTTTTTTATCTCGAAAAATTAATAAAGTTCATCGAAAATCCTTGAAAATGAGCCAGTATGACTACAAAGCTAAAATGGTCCTTTATGGATTTTTCTACCGGACCCGATTTCCGCTCTTTTCAGAATTTTCGGCTGCAACTGAAATTAGATCATAGTAATATTTAATAATTCTGTGGTAAAATGATTGAGGCCACGGTATCAGTCTTGAAAGTTATGAAAAAGACTTTTTACAGTTTTCGCTAGTTCAAATCATATACTTTCGTGAATATTTTTTGAAACTTTTTTTTCTAGTTTCTTGGAAAACTGAGCAATTAGTTGCTGAAAAGGAAGGAACTTCCTTTCAGCGCTTAATCCGCCTACTTAACTCACTCATCATCCAGTATAAGTACATGTTGTTTGGTCATTTCGAAACTTTCGCTTCCTATTTTTTTTTCTTGAAGAACAATTTTTTGAAGTCCAAATTTCAAAGAATTTCGCAAGACTGAAAACGTTTGAGCACTTTCCAATAAAAACCGAGTATTCCATTCATCCCTCCACATAAATTTCCTAACCCACCTACTTGACTATTTTCCTCAAATCTTCACATGTGTTGGTTGATGGATTGCAATGCATAAAATATGCCGAAATCTTCTCCACTTCTTCCAAACTGACTATCTAGTTTGCCTTACGCCTTCCCGTCGACTTTTGCCATCTTCTGATGAATGAATTACATCTCTCTCTTCTCAATTTCCGACATGTTCCTTTCTTTTCCTTCTCCCTCAATTCAGCAATTTGTGTGCTAGATGATGAACCCTCTCTCTCCGTATTTTTTCGTGAGAATGACAACAGCTGTTTCTGGGGACGAGGGCATGTGATAGATGTAGTGAAATCTATCAAACTGGCTGAGGACCACTGCTTTCAATTCACCGCAAATCAATTTTTCATTCTGCAACCTTCTCAAACAACCAATTGACCTAAGATTGATGGCACTCATTACGTTTGAGGACAGACTGGAACAATTTTTTTAGTGTGTGTGTCGAGAAGAGTCTTTGACATGTTTTTTCGTTTGTTTTATGGATAATCTTCGGGTTCTCCCTGTCAAACATTTTGGCAACCCCCCGTTACTTTTTGTGTTTTTCTGCTCTTTCTTCTGTTGCGTAAGAAGATTAGTTGTGCTTGTTTTTGACACCAAGAGTTGAGAAGTGGTAGCCACGGGTAGGTAAAAAAAATAGTTTCAACCTTCTGAGAGTAGTTTCGATTTGTTTCTCTCATACTTGTAAACCATGCCTTTGCAGGCCCTGCTATAGTCTTATTTAGAACTAATATTTTGGGCGAACTTAATTAAATATGATAGAACCCCAACAAGAACTACAAAGTGATGCTATTTGGAATACTGTATCTTGTCTATGAACAAAATTCCAGACAAAAAAAAACAAAAAAACAGGCCTGGCCGCTTTATGTCTTGTAACTTTGTTCGTAGACAAGATACAGTTTCCCAAGTTGTATCACTCTGTAGTACTCGTTTAGTTCTATCATATCCATGTTAGTTTGTTCAAAAATTTTCATTGCAAAAGAAATTAAGGGTCCTCTCTTATTTAGCTTCCAATACTCTGAATTCCCGATTTAAAGAATTTTGGATTATTCAAATATGTAGTAATATATGGGTATGCGCGTTTTCAGCGGCCACCGCCGCCGCCACCGCCCTTCGCAATGCCATCATGTTCTCCAGGTTGGACTATAGGAAACGCAGAGACGAAGTAATGATCAAGTTGATATCACAATCGGTTTCCTCTCCCTACACAAACCTCTCTTTCTCCTCCTCACTACTTTTACGACTTTACTTTTTCAAATATTCATAACTCGGAAGTTGTGTTCCTGAAGTTTTAGGTTTTTCAATTTGAAAAAAATTGTTGTTGTGTTAGTCCTGATTGTTTTTTTTTTCTCAATTGTGGATTCCCGTCTAGGTTAGGTGCTCTTTTTTTGGCTCCGCCGGCTTTTTTGTTGTGGCTGGTGTTGTCTTTTCGGGGCGCGGTCTTTGTTGTTACCGGCCACCTGTTTTTTGTAAAGTGACATCAGAGGAACAGCTGTTCTTTTTGAAAAAGTAGGAAGAAAGTTTGAAGATAGAATTTCGAAATTTTTAAGTTTGAGAAAGTTTTGAAGAGTTTTATAATTGCTAGACTAGTTGAAGGGCCTTTCCATCAGAAGCCTCCCCTTCAAGCTCAATTAACTCGTTTTCTATAAGAGATACCAATATGTTGTTAATAGATAAAATGTTTGTCAAATTATCACTAATATTTTGTCAATTCACAGATTTTTGGCATCTCTCATACAAAGTGAGACAATCAAATTGCAACAATGGAAATAAAAGGTCGACCTATACTTGCACTTTGAGCTCAATCATCTCTTTTTCTATCATAGATATCGAAAATGTATCAACTAATAAAATGTTAGCGATATTATGCCAAACATTTTATCAATTAGCAGATTTTTGCTATCTTCTATTTAAATTGAGATAATTATTGTTGAATTAAAAAAACTGGGACCTGGGAATTTGAAAGTTGCGTTTTTTTTTATCTACGAAAGAGTGCGGTAAAAACGTAACATTTCAGACTTTTGTCTCGTTCGAGCTACTTTCGCGTTTAAGTTCGCTTTTTCGATGAAAAACAGATTCTAGAGATGCTGGCAATCATTTTCATACCAAGAAATCTAAATTTTGCCCAGCAAATACCACTAAATTACTAGAAATAAGTTCAGTTTACTACTGTAGTGATTTTGGAGCAAGGCCTTGAAAATCGACAGGGAAGCCGCCCGCGAAATTTTCCAGGTCCCAGTTTTTCTAAATAAAATAAGTTTTTTTATAAAAAAAATCTAAAAAATTCGACAATAAGCTTCTACAATAAGACAATAAGTTTCAGATGATCTTTTATTAAATTTTTGTTGCGATTTCTAAATTTCTAAAATTGAAATTCAAAATTCTGAGGTTTCATCCCACTCAGCTACTCAACTAACCATGCGCAATTGCCCAACATTTGATTTTAATTTGTTTGCCTAATTCCCTGTCAAAATCCACACCCGTGCACTTTTTCCTGCACCCCTTTTTTTCCACGTGCTTGTTCCACTATATTTCCAGTCTTCCAACCTGAAGCCTCGCTTTTTTTCTTTCATCTCTTTTTTTCCTCTCCCGTTCTCCCCCATCATCCCGTTCGCTTAATTCCTTGTTATGTACCGTACAACATTATAGTCAATCGGTTGGCGACCGACCAACGGCGTTCGTTTAACGTACTAGACATTGAGTATTAGTCCAGCAGCTACTTTATGCTATTCTATTCTTCTTTCCCCTTGCTTGTCTCCTCTTAAAGCATTTGGAAATCCGGTTTCTTGAATGAGTAGAGAGAGAGACGAATATTGAGAGATCTTTTACATTAAACGTTTCTCGTTTTTCTTGCGGATCATCAGGTGTTCACTTTTTCGAAAGTCAACTTATTAAAAACTTTCAAAAATCTTCTTCTTCTTTTTTTTTTGGTTTTTTCTCAATCTCTCAATTTCGTTCATCTTGGTGTAATTGTGGGATGGAAAGAAGGAAATATGAGAATTGAGGGAGAAATGAAGCAGAAGAACATCTTCTAGAAAAAAACATTCCGGATGACCTTCTCGATGTTCGTTTCTTGCGGAAGCCGGAAATGGCATGGATGTTATCAGGGATGAGTTTTTTGGTGGCATGTGGGAAGTAGGGTAGAATATGTTTTTTGACTTGAAAATAGGAGAAGTTGGGCGAATAATTTTAATTAGTCATCTAAAAAGGTTTTTGATGAACTGAGATAGTCAAATTTGAAAAAAAAAACAGTTTTACCACTAAATGTTTCAAAATACCACTAACACTCTAATATAATTATCCCCGAACTGGCAAATTTGAGCCCATATACCTCATTTCTTGTAAAAGATATCGAGAAGTTGCCAACTGGCTAAATATTTTTGATATTAATGGTAAGAATTTTGTTAGTTGACTACTTTTTGATACTGTTCACAGAAATCGAGATAAATGGGCTCAAATATGTAAATTAGGGTTTCAAACAATTAGAGAGTATTTTTAAGTTTCTGTATTTGCACATCTTCAAGTAGAAGCTCATAATATCCGTCTAAAAAACTGAAAAACTTGAAAATCTGTCAAAGTTCTCAGTGGGAAATATCATTTTCCCTCTCACAATCCTTTTTCAAAAGCCAATAAATTGTTTCTTTTTTTTGGTTGAATGCGAATAATGCACACGAGAGCTGATGTAAAGTGGTTTTTTTAGTACTCACCCTGTGAACCTGTTGTCAGTTTTCAAATATCTAGAAGTAGCTAATAGACCAGAAAAGCATCGGGCTGTTGAAAAATACTTAATCTGGTTTCCAGCTGGCTAGTTTTTTATTTTAAATTAAAATTTGAAAATTCCGAAGACCTGCAATAAAAAAGCCTCCACACTATAAAGTTCAAGCTAATTTTTCTCAGCTCCTATGCAAGATATCAGCAATGGGCCAAGTGAGTAAAAGTTTGTGATATTATGATGAACCATTTATCAGTTAACATGGTTTTTATATTTTTGACAGGAACCGGGATAAATTGGCTCAAAGTTAAAAACTAGATGCCCTTCTATTAGAGGTTGTTCCCCTTTTTCTAATTAATTTTCTTGAATACTCTGAATCTATGACCCACTTCTGCGAGTATTGAAATTTGAGACCCTTCAGAAACACTCTTTCTCACTGTTTTGGATATCAAAATGTATTCGCCAACTTGCCTTTACCTAATTTGCCCAACCGTGTTCTCTATACACATCTTATATTGGAGAGGGAGATATTGCCATCCGGAGTCTATCTTATATGGTCAATCGCCTTCTTTCTCCCCCCATGCCCTCGGACTCTCTTCATTTTTCCCACTCTCTCTCTCTTTCTCTCTATCCATGCTGGCCGGACTCCCCCCACCACATTACCTACAACTTACCGTCCCCCCGTCCGTCCGTGCGCACAGTCCTCGTCCTCTGTTTCTCTTGCGCACGCTGCGTCTCTCGCCTCCCACCATTCTTCCTGTTGATATATTGTCACAATTGGGTTAGCAACACCACAGTCAGTTTCGGTTCGACTTTGGCGGCGGTTAGGGCGACAGTCCTCCCGTATAGTTTGCTTGCTCTCTCTCTCGCGGCGCGCGCAAGAGGTTACATTTTCTCTCCCTGTGTCGTGGCGTCGTTGTTCTGTGTCGTTTTCACTCATTTTCCTCCCGAGTCTCTTCCTTTTTGATACCCGGCCCGCGCCGCTCTCGTCTTTTATGGATGAGGAAAGGTTGGGAAGTATATACAAAAGGTGTCCCCCGGAGTCTCGATCCATCCTGTCTCTATCGTTCTCATTGCCCTCAACCCTTTCCTCTTGTGTGCGCGCGTACAGGCCGAGGGCCGTTGGCCGGTAGGGGGTCCACTTGTTGAAAATGCTGTTTTTGTCGGACGGAAAAGAAGGACACGATTGCGAGAGTGTTGAGATAGAGAGACTGGTGCGTATGGATAAAAACGAATAAGAGCGCAATTATCAACTATTATTGGTTGATGGGACAGTAGTTTTTTGGGACAACTACTTTCAAGATCTTCTAGTTTTCGATTCAAGAGCAGATTCACAAATATTTATGTTTTTAGTCGTAGGCTTTTGTATTTTTTGCTTATTTCGCCTTCCAGAGATTATCTGGAAATCCAATCTCCCTCTTCACATTGACCCTTTTTTCCACTTCACTTCTTCCGTTTGGTGGACCTTTTCTCCTGCTAAACCCCATTTGTCGTTTCAAAACTAATCAAATATGCATGAAACCGATCATCTTTGGTTGAATTCTCTCTAAAACTACAACCTTTACAACGTTAAAGGACATGGGTTTACAATTCTCTAGGATTTAGTATTACAACTATGTCCACTGGAGGTCCATAAAATTCTCATTAAAAAGAACTAAGAAAGTGAGAGCGAAGAACTGTTCCAATGCCTATTTACAGCCACCCCTCATCATCATGCGCATACATTTTTTAACACTGAATCATGTCCTCCTCCCCCTCACGCATTTTTTCGCCCTGCATCTTACAGTTTGTAATATTCCCCGCTGTTAACTCCATGCCTCTAGCTGTTATGTTCATTGTTACATTTTTCCCGTGTACAAACTGTTCTGTCATGTGTTCTTCTTTGCCTTTCTCTTCTGTAAACATTGATAATCACAACAATTCTTACGTTTTCGTTTTTTTTCCAGAAGTCGTGCCGTATAAAAGGAGGTGTGACAGCATCTTCGCACACCTCTTTTTGCCACCATGGCGTTCTTGAATAAGGTCAAGAATCTGTTTCGGGCGAATACGACAGAGAAAAAACTACCCAGCTATATACAGGTTAGTTTTGAAGCAAATTTTGAGGAAATTGAGATACAAACGATTTAGGGGTACAGCATTTCTGAAAAATTCGAATTTTGTATCCCTAAATTACTTTGTACTACTCTCCGAATCCTAGTTTTGAGAATGTAAATTTCTTCATTGGCGTTATTTCAGGACAATGTAAATCCACGGGACCACTGGAATATCATAGGCGAGCTTGGCGATGGAGCATTTGGAAAAGTAGAGAAAGCCGTGTCGCGAACAGACCCAAAACTTTTTGCTGCCTCAAAATCTATTGAAATTCAGGAAGGAGAAGAACTGGAGGACTTTTTGGTGGAAATTGAGATTCTGTCAGAGTGCAAAGGACATCCAGTCATGTTGGGTCTTTACTCGACTTATTTCTTTGAGAATAAACTTACGGTAAGAACTTCTGAAAATAAATTGATTCATACAGTACTGGTCAGTGGATTTTGACCTTTTTTTTGGGGTCTGGAGCTTGACTGTACAGTTTCCAATCACCTTGAAAATTTTAGAGGATGTAAAACAAGCCTATATTGAAAACTTTGCATTCACAGACTTTTTGGCTTTTTCAAAGGGATTGAAAACTTGACAACTTGACAGCCGAGCTCCAGACTCTTGAAAATTGTCGAAACCAACTGAAAATCTTATTGATTAATACTGTATTTCAAAAAACAATTAATAGCAAATAATTCGTTTTTGTAGATGCTTTTGGAATTTTGTGGAGGTGGTGCCGTTGACAACATAATGTTGGAACTTGGACATCCGCTCAAGGAAGACCAAATTCGATACATCGGCTACTACGTCTGCGACGCTCTAAAATGGCTCCACTCCCAGAATGTCATCCACAGAGATCTCAAGGCTGGAAACATTCTACTCACGAACGACGGACAAGTCCGACTCGCTGATTTTGGAGTTTCCGCAAAACTCAAAAGCGAAAGAGAGAAGAGAGATACCTTCATCGGCACCCCATATTGGTGAGTCACAGTTTTAGATAGAGGTAGACATGTAAACATAACCTACATAATGCACTTTTATATGGGTGCAGTATGAATCAACCGAATCAAAAAAATTTACAGGATGGCTCCTGAGGTGATGGCATGTGAAACGTTCAAGGATCAACCATATGACTGTATTTCTGACATCTGGTCATTTGGCATTACGCTTATTGAAATGGCACAATGCGAACCACCACACTCGGATGTATCCGTTATGAGAGTCATTATCAAAGTGCAGAAGTCAGAGCCACCAACGCTACTTCAACCATCTCACTGGACCAAAACATTCAGTGATATTCTCGCAAAATGTCTAGTGAAGGATCCAAGATATCGACCAAATGCAACTGCAATCTTTGAGCATCCCTGGTTCAATAATGCTCCGTCGAAGAGAAAGATGATCATGGATCTTCTCACAGAAATGAACGCTGATGTTCAGGAAGAGCTGATCATTGATGGAGATGAGGAATCTGTCGCTGGATCTGACGAAAACTCACAGAGACGAGGGGACTCTTGGAGCTCAGCTTCAGAAAGCCCTCGACCAGCAACAACGGAAGGATTCAAGGTCCCTGTACTTCCACCGAATATCGAGACACCACCACCAGACACTCCACACAAGAAACGAGCTGCTCCACCGCCGCCGCAAGAAGCCAAAGCTGCACAGGAGTCGCCGGTGCTCAATGGAAAATCGGATAATTCCAGTTATGCAGAGGTAAGATTAATACGCCACAGACAAAGAAGCAGGCGTAAAACGTTTTTTCACAATCAGTAAGAGAAGGACTGTGACTCATCTTCGTACTGAATGAATCAGCCTGAGGAAGAATAATTAGCAAACTGGTTAAGATGTAACCACGCTCAAAATGTCATTACAGTTCTCCTTCTCCAACAGCAACACCTTCTCTGAAGGCAACGCCGAATTCTCCACACCATCATCCAACAAGAGTAGTGTGCATCTTTCCACACCCGCTGTTCTTAGCCTAAATACCAGCGGAAGTCCATCATCTGGTGCTAGCGAATTTGTCAGCCCTCGTCGTGAAGCTCTCAGCATCTTGGACGAGCTCACCACTACGCTGGACGACGAACAGAGCTCCAACTATTTCAACTCTCCAAGATCCGAGCGGCAGTCGCCAAGACAGTCGCCTAGTCAGTCTCCACAGAAAGAGCAGAAACAAGATTCTACTGTCCAACATTCAATTCGCGATACGATCATGGCGAATCGGGCTAGACCTTCGTTGAGTCCACAGTTGAGACGTAAGTTGCACTCTGACACCAGAGGCTGGTTTTTAATATTCAACGTTTTTTTAGATCTCTCTCCATCCAACTCATCATCATCCTTCGAGGAGTCTGTCAACCTCTCATTCCACAAGCTCGAGCCAGCTGACCACGCGGGATACATTGTTGCAAAACAGCAAATGGAAAAAGTCACTGCCACTATGCAAGAGCGTGCTATTGCTCATGCACAATCTCAAGATCGCTTGTCAGACACATCAAGCGAAAAACTGAGACAATCAGCGTCATCTGAAGGAACGGCCTCACCAAAGAGAATCAGTAAGGAACGATCGTCTTCTCCACATGGACAACCAGAAACTGTCTTCAAAAAGCCATCACAAGACATGTCCACAAGCTTTACGGCCCGGGATTCTCCATTCGGAAAATCTGAGCTCACAGTGTCCGCCACGTCGACACCAGCCAAAATCAGAGCCGCACCACAACGTGCTGAATCTAATCATTCTGTCAGAACAAGCACGTCTTCTAACTCGATTCCACATCACTCGGCTTCTTCGTCCACCGACTTTGTACCAACGCCGATCCCAGCGCAGCCAGAGTACTTTGATATTCCAAAGCATCATTATCAGAAAGACAAGACGACTCCACCTCCAGAGCCACCAGTCGACTACGAAGGTAATGCGAAGGAGAATGCTGCACCAGTTCCAGTTCAGAAGATACTGCAACCTGCGGTTCCAGCTCCATCTACATCCACGGCAGGATCGAAGGCAAGTACGAGCACAGCAGCGAAGCCACTTGGAGGTAGAAGAGATGGAAACCGGCAGACGATCACGAAGAAAACGAGAACATACATGATTGATGGTGTGCAAGTGACTTCGACGACGGTTCATGTGCTTGGAGTTAAAGATGACAAGGTTCAAAGGTAAGAAATTGCAGTTTTAAGCTTCATTCACCCTTATCAACGTTTCAGAAAACAACAACTACACGATCTCCGACGCCTTCAACGAGACGAAGCCCGACAGAAGCAAGAACTTCAAGCCGAGGGAATCAAGCTTGTCGACGAGCAAGCAAGAAAATTCGTATCGGAGCAGACGAACCTTACACGAACCTCGGAACTAGAAATGGATGCAATGGAGAGACGCCAGCGCAAAGAAATCGAGGATACCGAGGGATCACAAGAGCAAGAACTCCGAAATGCTCAGAAACGACTTCGCATCGAACAGGAGAAGGATATGCGGGCATTCAAGGAACGTCTGAAGCAAGAAATGAAGATATTCAAGCAGGAATTAACTATGCTGTCCAAAGTTCAAAGGAAGGACGCGTTGAAACAGCGCAAGGAGCAAATTGAGCATGAGCATCAACTCAAGGAGAAGGATTTCCTGATTCAACTCCAGCAAAATGCCGAAGCCATGCTTCAGAGGATGGCTGAGAAGCATAAGGAGCGAATGGCATCGATTGAGAAGCAATTCTTGATGCAAAAACACAACTTGCTTCGGGCCAAGGAGAACAACATTTGGGAATTGGAAGACAAGCAAATGAGGGAAAAGTGAGTCATTATTAGAAATTCAGTCTAATTTCGCAACATTCCAGATTCGTACTTCATCGTAAACTATTCAAAGATGAATACTACCTTCTCCGAACTCAGATGCTTGCCCGCCACCAACGTGAAATGGCTCAAATCGAGAAGAATCATCAAGAAGAAGAAGAGGAGCTCATTCGAGCTCTGACCAATGATCGCAAGAAACTCCCGAAAATGTTGCGTGCTGAGACTAAAACTCGAAGTGTCATGTTCAAAGAGAGCCTCCGCATCAGTGCTACAGTAAGTTTTATAGGCTAGAACTATGAGACTCTAGCAAAAAAGTTGAAATCGTTGCAGAACATGTCGAATGCAGAAATGCAAGAACGAATTCGGAGATTCGATGAGCAGGAGGCGTTACGAATGCGCAATGCGTTAGAGGAGCACGATGCCAAGTCGCAGAAGAAGTTGCAGGCCTCAAGGAACGTCATCATGCAGCGGTGAGTTTTCTTGAATGGTTGAATTTTTCACAAATCAATAGTCATGGTTGAAGGTTGTCGAGCTCGACGAGATGCAAAACGAGAAGCGTAAGCAGTTGTTGGAAAAGGAGAGGAATACCATGAAAGAACATGAAGCTAAGTACCATGAGATGCGCGAGATGTGGCAGGAGAACTTGATTGCTAGAAAGACGGTATGTTTTTCTTACAATAGCGGTCAATGATACACTAGAAAAACGTGTCTACTGATGATTTTGATCATTTTTCCAAAGTCTGCAACTCTGATGTCAAGCGTCGGATCACTTTGACAATTTTGGAGGTTGTAAAACAAGCCTAGATTGAAAAATTAGCATTCACAACATTGTTTGAAAGATCCTAGTTTTTCAGCTGTGGGGATATTTCTGAAAGACACCCCTTTTCACCCTATTTTTATCATATCAACGGGCCGGGCCGGGCCGGGCCGGATGACGAATATTGTCGGCACGGGCCGTCCCGTATCAATGGAAAATTGGGACACTACTTTTAAAGGAGGCGAGAAAGCAAAAATTTTGGAAGACAGTTTGGGGGACGAAATCGCGCCGCGATTATGTAGGCCATCAGTCAGCCAGGCGCCTTCGCGCCCCCGTAGCTCATCCGGTAGCGGCGCTGTACCCCTGAGCTGCCTGTCATGAGTTCAACCCCTCGTGGGGGTTCTCTAGGTAAAATACCAGGAAGACATTTTTTATGTCTGGCCTCCTTTAATTAAAAAAACGAATTATTCTAACAACGTTCACAAAATAGAAATTAGTCAAAAAAATTTTTTGTTCAAATTTTAAAGAAAAATTCCAAAAATTTCAAAAAAAAAATCAGCTTCTGTACAAACAGACACGGGCCAAGTAGTGTTTTCCAGAAACCGGCAAAAGTTGAAAAACTAGGAATATTTGAAAAATTCTGTGAAAGCAAAGTTTTTGATCTAGTTCTGTTTTACACTTTCCAAGCTTCTCAAAGTGATCCGACACTTGACAGCCGAGCTTCATTTGCCTGAAAATGATCAGATCAGCAGCAGAAAAATACGTTTTTGTATATCTCAAAGACCAGTATTGTATTTCTTCTTTGAACAACTCCTAATAACTTCGTCAGCCTTCAGGTACTGGAAGAAAAGTTCGAGGACGAGCTTTCAAAGCAAGAAGTCTTCTACGGAATGTCCTACACACCATCACAGGCTTCCACCCTCTCCGGTCGACACATGCCCTAGACGTGCATTTCGCTGAATCATTCCTACTGTAGCCTGTTGTGCCCGTTTTCCGATTCATTCCAACTACTCTCTGTACCAGTGCCTATTCAAAACGACACCTGCCTCTATTCAGCTTATTGTTCCCCGTGACTGATCACTGTATACATTTCTTTCTTCGAGCTCCCCCATCTCTATTCACCAAATTATATATTTTGATCCTAAGATGGGTATATCGCTAGTTACTGTGTCTAGATGGGTCATCTTGTGTCTTCAACAACTTTTTTCCCGCCTTACAACCTCCAAAACATTTCTCTTATCCTACGGTTCATCGCAAGTTACAACCCTGGCTGTTCTTGCTTCCCAAATACATTTCACCTCATTGACTTCCAATCAAAATCTGTTACCCCCTTTCTCCAAATATGCTAGTAATTGCACTTTTTGGATCTCTACCCTCCTTTTAGATTATTATTTTGTATTGAATTGTTTTTAATGTATAAGAAAAGGATAGTTTATACCTTTAAGGCATGCCTTAATAATAGACAACTCCTTTTCCTCTATGTTAGTTAATCAAATTCAAAAAAATTCCCCCTTTCTTGTTAAATGTTTTGTTCCTCATTACTCTCAAAATCACTTCCGTGACCCTCTCAATCTCTCTACACCATTTTTCGTTATCCTAATTTATGGAACATTCCTAAATTAGGAATTTCTTCCCATCATTCAAGTTCATTCATTTGTTCCAACAATTGTTTTATACACAAGCATCGTTCCGTCATAAAAACGTCGAGATCTTGATTTTTGGTTTGGAAAATTTCAGATTCGCTGATTTGCATAATATCCAAGAAACAAAAAAATGGAAAAAAGATTTCTTAGAAAAATAGAATCATAAACCAACTAGGGAATCGGATGAGTCATTTACTAGGAATAGACAACAACCCGTTGCGTCCTAGTGTTTTCTTTTTTTTCTTGCGGTCGAAGAGAGAGTAATATAGTTCCGTTTATAGCGGTGGCCGATTTATTGTACGAATCAACTTTTTTCTTTTCAAAAAATGTACGTAATTTGAGTTTTTGATGTAAAGTACTGTCCAAAAGTTTATCTCTTTTTCGTTGAGACGTTTATAGAATGACCCACGTAACTTCCAACTTTGAGCTGATTTATCTCGGTTTTTGTAGAAGATATCAAAAAGTGATAAACTAACAAAACATTTTTAATTTTATGTTGAACATTCTGTCAGTTAACCACTTTTTGGTATCTTTTACAAAAACAGAGATACATAAGTTTGTAGTTTACTGTGTTAAACTGTTTACGGTGTACTATTTCCGCCGAGTTTGAATGCTCACAAAATATATCAAATTTTGTCAAATGAGTCTGAAAATTTTTAAGCCTGTTAAACAACAATAGAGCTTCAATGTTGTAGTTGGCTACTTTTTTGTACGAGTTCATTCGAATGAGATAAGCCGTTCAAAAAATCAATACTCTGAACTCAATTTTGTCTGTAAAAGCTTTGGTGTTTTCTTGGTTTCAAGTGATATACCTCATTTGAATGAATTTCTACAAAAAAATTGTAAAGAAGCATCAGTTTTGTTTTCTTAACCTTAAAATATTCAATCACAGTCAACAAAACCTATCAAATGTTTTGAATGCCTAACATTGATCATTTCCAGCTGAACATTCTGTAAACACTCGCCAGTAGGCCACCAAATACATGCACTTTGAGCTAAATTATCACAACTTCTATGCAAGATAACAGATAAAATGTTAGTGATACTATGACAAACAATTTATCACTTGTCAGATTTTTGTTAGCTCTAATAGAAACTGAGATAATTGAGCTCAAAGTAAAAGTATATGGTAGGCTTCTATTAGAGTGTTTATGGTAGATACAGTTGATGAAACGTGGACGGTTCTGTAAGCCATCACTTCAATTGTTGTAACGAAGTTTTGAGTATCTCTACTCAATTGCAAAAACTTACAAAACAAATTTTCCATGCAAAAAAGGCAAAGTCATAATACCGTATTTCCTCTGCTAGAGGCTTTCTTAAACTGTCAATTTGAGGTCAATTATCACGATTTTTGTGAAAGACTTCGCAATATTGTGAATTGACACATTATTATCATAATAACACTAATATTTTTTTAGTTGATAAAATTTTGATATCTTCCCCAGTAATCGAGATAATTGAACTCAAAGTTGACGGTTTTGGTGGACTTCTATTACATGTCACTCTATTTTTATCAAGTCCTCCTCATTTTGTTACAAATAAAAATTTTATCTATCCATTTCTCTTCAGATTTGAAATCAAAAATACCTTCCGGTTTTTCAACTCTTCCTAACAGTTTCAAACTGAAAATCATTGACACATGCACACGTAAACAGGTGAAAAAACTGATAAAAGCAGTCGAAACCTGTGAGAGATGAGTCAGTTTAAATATTTTTGACCGATTGAACATTTCCGTTTTATAAAACTCACATCAGCAATAACTTTTTTGGCTAGTTCCAGAGTTTGTTTTCCACTTTTTTAGCGTTCTGTTCCGTATTCATACCGCTAAGCCTATTCCAATTGACTCATCCTCTTACTTTTTCACAAAGGTGAAATAAAAGAGTAGAGTAAAAACATCACATGTGTGTTGGTGTCAAAAAGACCGGATTTCGTCTAACCATGCGGTCTTTGTGACTCGTCAAAGTGCAAACGTCTATTGTGATCGAAAAGTTTTGAGGGTTTTCAAAGTGAAACTTTGAAAAATGAAGAGAAAGTGCTGTTTTTTTGCTTCGTGTGAAGAAAGTTATCTTAAAAAATTGTTATAACACTTGTCTAGTACCCTTGTCTAATTTTCTTTTGATCTCAAGTTTCAATTCTCTTTTAAAATTCCCTCCAACCACTTCTTTTGTTTTAACTTTTCCTTTAAATCTAACCATGGTCAAGTTTACGACCCTATCTTTTTCCTTGCACACACACAAACTGAGAAAATGACCGCTCGGACCCGTCCGGACACTTTCCCCCCTCAATTCCTCAACAAAGACTGTTTGCGTCTCTTCTACCCACACACTATCTTCTCCTCTTTCTCCTCATACCGCGTTGGACGCATCGTCCTCGTCCTCCCTCTTCACTAGCAGAGTCTGGCGGGCCACCAAGATAGCTGCCCCGCTTGTCTGCGTTTCTCACTCTCTCGCCTCCCACCAATACACCAAATTTCTTGGCTTTCTATTTCGCAATCTGTTTGATATATCTATAGCCAAATTAGGTGAATTAGCTGCGCGCTTGTCATTTATTCTCTTTTCTCTCCCCCCATTTTTGATGAATATTTACTTCCGTCTGTTCCGTTTTGACAGAAAGTCAGCCGCTGTTCAGTTTAATCTCGTTCACATTTAGCCGAAATCAAAAATGCATGCGATTACTACACTTGTCTTTCGTTATTTCAAGTGACAACTGACAAAAGTTGATACACGATACGTGTGTGATTCATTCATTCATATAAAATCTTCTTTCTTCACTTTTTTATCATCTTTTTTTCATGATATCAATTTCATTTTCTTCTCCGGAGACATGGTTTTTTTTTCTAATGAGATAGATAGAAGAAAAAACACGTGAGAATACAATAGACTTGTATTTTTGTTGACTTTTCCCTCTTCCCATTCTCGACGATTTGTCAACAATTGGGGAAGAAGAACACGCGCTCGGTCCCATCCATACAAATTTTGAGAAAAAAAGACGTTTAGAAAGGATTAGTAATTTGTACGCCTCTGATTCTCCGTTAAATGTTTTTTTCTATTGAATTTACAGTACCGGTCAATAAGATATTAAAAAACGTATTTTTCGGTTGCTTTTGGTCATTTCAAACATTTTCCGGAGTCAGGAGCTCGGCTTTCAAGTGCCCAATAATTTTGAAAAATTTGGCAAGTGTAAAACTGACCTGATTGAAAACTTTGCATTCACAGAATTTTTTGAAAACTCCTAGCTTTCTAGCTATTTGACAATTTTCAAATGAACCCCTTTCTTGCTCTTTTTTTACTGAAAAGTGAAAAAACAGGTATCTTTCAGAAATCGGCGAATAGCCGAAGATCTTGCAATTTGCAGAAAATTTTGTGGATCTAAAATTCTCAATCTAGGTCTGTTTTACAGCTTCCGAAGTTTTCAAAGCGATTGGAAACTTGTCAGCTGAGCTTAAGACTTCTGAAAATGTTCAAAATGGCCAAAAATCATCTGAAAAATATGCTTTTGAATATCTCATAAACCTGTATTCTACGTTGACTTCTATTCTTCAATTTGTTCTAACTTTCAGTATGCTCTTACCATGACGGACACAATTGATTTGAAATTATCTAGTCGTCGTCAATGGAACCCGGTGCAGTGTCCCGTCCATCTGGAAATCAACGGCCGGATACAAACTCCCGAATCTCTAGTCCAATATGCACTCAATAATCCATCATTCGACTTGGTGATATCTACACAGGACGGGCAGAATGTGTACATACCGTTTAAAGAGGATAGGTCAGTTTTTGAAATTATTTTCATGTTTATTACAGGCCAAACCGAGCCGGACTTTTGTCAAAATGTCATTAAAACATTTTCTTCCCGAAACAATTTGAAAAAATTATAATTGTTTCAAATTTGGAAAACCCAGGCTCACACAGTTAGGCCCTGATCTTTTAAGTATGAATTTTTTTCATTTCAATATTCAAATTCACAATTTCCAGGAAACTATTCACCTCCAATATTGCCGACGACCGATCAACTTCATCTTTGGTAAGTAACAAGATTAGTGTAATTGTTTGCCTATTTCCTCAACACTTCTGCCCTCATAAAGACACAGTGGCTGACCCTGAACTAGTTTTCGAGAGATCGAGTTTAATTCATAGCGTTGAAATAGTCTGATTTCATTGCGTGAATTGTGAATCAAGAGAAAAAAACTAACAGGAATCGATTTTCAGATCACACATTGTCATTTCCAAAGTGTGACAGAGGATGGGAGACATGCATTATCGTTGTGTAATTCGAAAGGTAGGATTGGGGATATGAATATTAAAGAAAAACAAAAAGTCAATTTCTCAATTTACATTCACAAAAAAAAATGAAACTACAAGCTTCGCTTGTTCCAAATCCAATCACTGTAAACACTATGGAATGTTCCCTAACTGTTAACTATGAGCCAGTTTATTTCTTTTTCTGTGAATTATATAAAAAAGTAGTCAACTGACATACTATTTATCATAATACTAAACGTATTTTGTCAGTTGACAACTTTTTGAAATGTCTTACTGGGACCGAGATAATTTGACCTGAATTTGAGAGTTATAGAGTTCAGAGTCTACAGTACAATCTCAATTGAGAGACTTAATTATGGATCATTTTGAATTTGAAAGTTAGAGTGAAATTTGCAAAAATTTACTAGTGGTTTTTTGGGAAAATGGGGATTCCGAGCTTTGGAAGTATCAAAAACTTATTTTCTGCAATTTTGCTCGCGAAATGATAGTTTGAGAGTAAATCGATACTATGAACGTTTTGTTCCGTAAGACTTCAATAAGAATTTAATATCGAAATCTACAAAAAACGATTTACAGATACTTTTATTGCTAATCATCATTTTTTCAGATATCACCGGTCTTCTCATGACACAAACCAATCGATTCGGTCTATCCACGTCTTCTAACGGGTCTTCATCATATTTCGTTCTAACGCCATACGTGGAGAATAATTGTGGTAAGTGTGTGCCAATAATGCTTGAAAGTAGAAACAATTTCGCATTTTCTGACAGAACTTAATCCGCTAACGGTGTGTAGTTTCATGGTACATTCATCAAAAAAGCGTACGGTAAAGGGAAACGGGTGAAACCAGTTTGCCACTTGTCGCGCCATTATTCTTCTTGTACCTCTCGTGTCCCAATTGTTCCAATTTAACGTTGTTGTGGATGGTCGAGTTAGACTTGATATTGAGAACTAGGCGAAAAGAAAGATTTGGAAAGAAAACGAACACAGCCGAAATTCGAGGCTAGATAAAAGCTTAAAAGCTAGAAAGCTAGCTTTTAATTTAGGAAAAATCAGGAATAATTTAAATAATAATGTTCTTTTTTCAGACCTTGGATCCTTGGCTCGCTTCTTATCATCCACCCACCGTAAAAAACGTCAAGCCGGCAAGACTGTCATCGACCGCAATCCGTCGTACATCAAGGAACATCTGGATGGACGGAAGCGATATGTCGAGTTGGCGCTGGTCGCCGATTACTCAGTGGTAGGTGATTTATGATCTGAACCCCCTGGATCGCTGTTCTTCTTTATTTTATAATTTCCGCTTTTCAGTACACCAAGTATGACTCAGATGAGAAGAAAGTCAACGACTACATTCAACAAACCATGAATATTCTGAACTCGGTTGGTTTTTCCTAGTTCTTCTGAAAATGACCAAGTTACTGTTTCAGTTATATTACCCTCTCAACATCCGTATCACTCTAGTACACTCAGAAATTTGGAAGAAGGGAGATCAAATATCGGTTGTAGTGGATTCGAAGGAAACACTGAACAATTTTATGGAGTACAAGAAGAAGATGCTGAAAGATAATTTCTTTGACACTGGGTACTTGTTAACGTGAGTAGATGAATTTCAGGATGAAAACAAAAAGTTACCGAGGTTCAGGACATTGAAGTTTGATGAAGGAGTTGTTGGAAAGGCCTACAAGGGAACGATGTGCTCATATGATTATTCTGGAGGGATTTATGTGGTAAGTAATTATTTACAAAAAGTCGACTGGCTTATCTCAGAAGAGTAAACCCCACATGAGACCGTCCCTTAATGGGATCATCGGTCCTAAAAAGATACCTCTTGTTTAACTAAAATTATAAGCTTCGTCTGAAAATAACGACCGTGGACCCACTTCTCCGAGCACAGTCCCACCCACGCCCCATATTTGAATCACTTTTTACGAATTATTTGAAATTCCTCTAGAATTCTTATCTAAAACGGTGTGCAAGCGCAACATTTAAGAGATAAGACATTGATTCAAGTATGGGACTATGGCCAAAGGGTTGGCTCCGTGAACGGAAGAATAAGATCACGTTTAACATTAAGGGACCCTCTTACACCCGAAAAAAAGCTACATGTGAACGATTCACAGCAGCATTTTAATTTAATTCTTACAGGATCACAACAACGATACGATTGAAACTGTGGCCACTTTTGCACACGAACTTGGTCACACCTTTGGTATGGACCATGATCCAAACGACAAAGACGTCTGTTACTGTCCTATGCCTCGCTGTATCATGAATCCACAATCCGGTCATATGGAAGTCTGGTCTGAATGTAGTGTTAAGAATCTTGCCAGCGGATTCAATCGAGGAATTGATTTGTGCCTATTCAATGAACCTGGCCAGAAACCAAGTGATGCCAAATGTGGAAATGGAATAGTCGAAGCTGGAGAAGAGTGTGACTGTGGACCGTTGAAGTGTGACAATGACTGTTGCGATGGCAGCACATGCAAACTTATCGGAGAGGCTCAATGTGCATCTGGAGATTGTTGTGATTTGAAGACGTGTAAGCCGAAACCAAGAGCAACAGTATGCCGTGCGGCGGTTGGCATTTGTGATCTTGACGAGTTTTGTAACGGAGAGACCAATGATTGTCCTGCTGACTTTTTTGTGCAGAACGGTGCGAATTGTCCCGGCAGAGATTTGGTGAGATTTCATTCTTTGGACAATTAAGAATTCAAATTTTGCAGGAGTTCTGCTACGAAGCCGGTTGCGGAAGTAGAAACGATCAATGTGCAAAACTGTGGGGCCCCACAGGTCATAATGGTGATGACAACTGCTACCGTAAGAATACAGAAGGAAGTTTCCACGGAAATTGTGGAACTAACGCGCATACCAAAGAAATCAAGAAATGTGAATCTGAGTGAGTAAAGCTAATATAATATCTATAGAAAAAAACAGAGTTTTTTCAGGAATGCCAAATGTGGACTTTTGCAATGTGAAACTCAAGCCGAGCGGCCCATTTTCGGTGATCCCGGTTCAGTCACGTTCTCGCACAGTACTGTCTACTCTTCTTCGAAACGAGACGACAAGAAATTCTGTTACGTCTTCAAGTCTGCGTACGGTGGATTGAATGCACCAGATCCAGGTTTGGTACCAGATGGAGCGATTTGCGGGGATGATCAGGTAAGCTTTCATACTGTAGAAACAGTATCAGAGATATAATCTTTAATTATTCGGAGGCAGTATGCGTTTCCTGGTATTAACGCGTCTCATTCCACAATTGTTTATTTATTTTTAGATGTGCATTGGTCAAAAGTGTCAAAAAAAGGAGAAGATCACCAAAGTGACGGCACAATGTTTAGACAATTGCAACTTCCGAGGTTTGTTATTATTCCCATTCAGACCAATTTTCGAATGTTGTAAACAAAGAATTTGACACTTTCCCCAGACACAAGGATTACCCATATCTAAACATTTCTAGGTGTCTGCAACAACGTCGGCAATTGTCATTGTGAAAGGGGATTCGGAGGAATCGCATGTGAAATTCCAGGATACGGAGGATCTGTTAACAGTAATGAGGCGTACAAATTCCGAGGGTTAGTTTATCATACAGACTGCAAAAAAAATGTAATGCGTATTTCAGAATAACACTCTCCTCAACATTCTTGCTGTTGTTCTTCTTGTTTGGTTTCCTAATCGCGGGGCTTTGCATCTACTATCGGGTGAAAAGGAAGAGAAATTTGGTTTCTGAGTAAGAAACAGTTGAAGGGTGCAATTGAAAATATAGTTTGGTTTCAGATGGTGGAGTGTTGTTAAGAAGAAGTTTGATCTACATGGAGACTTGGTTCCAGTCAGGAAAGCGCCACCACCACCATACGCGCAACGTATACGGTAAGGGTTTTGACTGTTTTGGTTATCTTCATAATTGTGAACGAATCGGCCTGATATTTCCTTCAATTTTACAAAGCTTCGACCGATTCCAAACCACAATACGCAGTAGCTGAATTTCCAATGAGTCGTTAGAAATAATTTCAGATTGAACATTCACTTTCACGAAAAAAAAACTAAAAAACAGGCTCAAAAATATAGTATTTGATTGTCCTACAAGAATTATGAAAGTTTACTAGTTTTTACATACAACAATGATAGAAACCAAGTTCTTTGCAATAGACAATAATCAGAAAACAACGTTATGACCGTTATCTATTATAATTCTGACATTTCCAGCCAGAGCTTCACAGCAATGTGGGGTGAGGACCATTCTCATGTGGCCGCCGCCGCTCAGCCAGCTCACCCTCGGAACTGTTACAATTCATGCTGTCGTCAACCTCCACGTTTCGATCCACCTTCGATTCCCATGGTTACTCTGAAAAATCCGAACCTCGCTAGTCCAACACCACTGTTGAATCCAAGTGAAAAAGAGCAAAACAATGAGAAAGTGGAGCATCAACGTGTGGAATTGTATGCTCCATCGGATAATTTCAGGAGTAATTCAGCGGTAAGTTGGATTTAGATTGGGTTATCTTCTCTAAAAATTGCAAGTCTCTTCTGTGGTGAAAATTTTAAATACCGAATAAACCCATGCTACTTTTAAGCGAAATCAAGCAAATTGTTTTCCAGGCTTCATTCAACACCCGCACCGGATCCCTACGACCCACTGTCCAGCCACCTCCAATTCCTCGGCCGACCAATGACGTGTTGACGAAACTGAACGAAGAACTTGAAAAGGAGAAGAAATTCGAGCAACTGTGAGAAAAAATTGTATTGAACATCTCATGAATATCACTTTTTTTTTGCAGAAACAAAACACTTCCATTGCCACCCCCACTACCGAAGGAGAAACCGAAGACTGCAACAAGTCTACGTCGGAATGAGAGCATGAGACCCGAACAGGCACCACCACCACCGCCGCCAGCTCATGCGGTGAGTAAACTATACATGGGAAGAGTGAAATATGATGTTACCGTAATCAGGCATTAACGAATGAGACTAACACAGACTATTATGACATAGAAGAGAACTTTATGTTGCAGCACTTATCTAGAGTAGCACATACAGAATCATATAACTTAAATAATCTTCCCGGAGTAGTTGCAAATGGTGATTACTATTCTGCTTACCGACTTTCAAAAAATCATAGCTTCTCGAACTTTAAGGTTAGTCAGAGAACTGTAGGGAGACCACATCTAGGTCCGAAAGCCCATGCAGTATTTCCAGCTGTCTATAAATAGTTTCGAATGTTATCCCAACCTTTGCTGGGCCGTTTGAGATGATAGATCAATTTCTGTTGCCTTTGAGCCCAAATTTGAGGTTTTCTATGAACCAATACAGTGACAGACCAGAACAAGAGTTCTTAATGATCCCTTCCTTTGAAAATAATGGAATAACTCTGAATTCAAAATACATTTTTTTTGTGTTTTGGTCCTCTCAACTAAGCATACAAAAAACTAAGTTCTCCACTTTAATAATTCCTCTTGATGGGATGAACACATCTGTAAGGTTTTGTGACGCTCCGAGCATATTATGTACTTATGCACCAGCCTACATAATTCCATCTTAAAGTTTTTTGCTTCATCGTTCCAGAGTTTACACCTTGATTAGTGTAATTGATGATCAGTGAAATTGTGCGAAACTTCTAAAACAGAATATAATTTTTCAGAAACCATCTCTACCATCGAAACCACCAAAGAACAGCAGCTCTTCTGAAAAGGATGAATCCACGGAAGAGGAAAAAGTGGACGTTCGATCAATGGCTGCTATGTTCAATCAGAAGTTGAAGAAATGATTGGACTCTGTATAAATTATAATCTAAATCTTATCGATATAATTGAATCTCAACGAAATACTCAAAACCTTCTCCAGTCACTATACCCAATTCTACGTCAAAAGTTATATGATCCAGACTACCCTGTGATATTTGTTCTTCTCGTCTTTGAAAGCTCTTTTTTGAAGCTTTAGATTACCCGTTGCTTTCAAAATCTCGATTCCACAAACTGAAGCTTTGATTCTTCTAGGTTTTTCCCATTTTCTTTTGTCACATCCCACCACTCGATTACGCGTACCTGTGATTTGATCATTATTTTTTGAGTATGACCAGTCAAACTACTGTTGGTCAGTTTTTGCTTGCCTGTAATAAAGAATAAATATTGAACGAAATTGTGTACTTTTTTGTTGATAAAACAAATTATTGTTACTGATTTTCTAAAGGTTCTCTAGTTCATAATCTTTCTCATTCATAAGGGCTTCATTTAAGATTCTCTTTGAAAATCTAGGATTCGTGTGGCATGAAATCATAAATTTGAAAAAAAAATTATTGAAGGTTTTCCTAATCTCTGTTTCTGATTTCATGGTTTTAGAATACTTGGAAATCAAAAACCGTGGGTCTAGGTTTTTTGAAAGTTTCAATGAAATTCTGGAATTTCGAAAAATTTTTCGTGAAAAATATTAGGTTGGAAGGAAAGTAACTGTCCATTTATTTAATTTGTGAATAACACAAAAATAATAATTATCCAAGATTGACAGTATGCACTGTCGTGGTGCACGACATGCTGACAACATTCAGGTAACTTGTGGATACCATTCCTCCAAAAGCCAGCTGGCCGCGAATCAAATCATAGTGCTGTTTTTTCCTCATCGACATTGTAAACGTTGCACATCTCCAAAGAACCAATAATGAAAGGGTCAAGTATGGAGTTTGAGGAATGTGGAGAGCCCTCCATTCCGTAGGACAGAATTGACATTCCTTAATTAACGCGAGATCCAATGTTCCACGGAAAGCCAAGTAAGACCTGGGCCGCTTTAGCTGGACGCTTTTTCTTTACGCCCCCTCAAACTCCTGATTTGATTTTTTGTTTCTGTGTTTAAAAAATTAAACAATGGACAGTTACTTTCCTTGCAACCCTATTTAACTATACTCCATTCTTGTTCAACTTTTGATTTGGCAGAAACATCACTCATTTTTCACTCACTCCGAAACTCCTTCAAATAAACTCTGCCCACTGCAACAATGGCTTTTTAGCCCCTCTGGTTTCTAAAAATTGTATTTCCATTCTTTTTTTAAATGCATTCCCATATTTTTTTGTTTTCCGCTATTTCAGATATGTTTTTCTTCCTTTAAAATCTTAATCTTCTGTTTAAACCTCGATAAAATACAAAAAGCGGATAAGTGGACAGAACCAATGCGACTTTTATGCATCCCTTCCTTTAAAATAATATCCCTATTTTTATTTCCTCTGTTTTTCTGTTTCCATTGATAATTTGGTTTGAGAGATAGAGAGAGAGAACCAATCTTGACAATGGAAAAACAGCAACATGCATAACAAGTGACAGAAACGCCTAAAATATCTCTCCGAGCCGCTCATCCCCGTCTCGGATGCGTCAAAGACACACAGATCGCTGCTCAATGCCATTTCCATTTCCAAATGACATCTACTAGCTACACACTAGAACACACACGATGCAAACATATAACATCATCGGAATAACAGATTCATATATTGAGCAGATTCCGATTATAAACCCCCGGCGATTTCAGGAAAAAAGAAAAATGCATTCTTCTTCCGCTTTCAAGCACACTGAGTTTTTCAAATGTCAAGTTTGTAATCCGGATGTTTCTTGATGGATGCACATTTAGAAAATCTGACATCTTTGTAGGCCACACTTTTTTTGACGAAAAGGAAGTTTCCGGTTGCAAACAATTGAGTGGTCTTACAACTGCACGGCCGAATGCAGTTCCTGGCACCATGGAGAGGAAAGATTAAAAATTCAAACGATTTTGAAATATGTGGAAAAGAGTTTACTATACACATCACTTCCTTCGACCCACGAGAACAAATTCACATCATCGAAAATTCCAACGGTGTCATGCTTGAGCAATTTTGGAAATTTGATCATTTGGAATTTGAAACGTTTATTGCTGATTGGAATTGATGACTGTTGACTTTTTTCAGAAAGTGCAATTTTAAACGAATCACGAGTTTTTCAAGAAAAGCTATTTTAGGTCCAGATAACTTTTTGTGTTTTCTTCGTCCTTTGTGTTCTCAGGTGTAGTGCTGCCACGTGAAATTGTGTTTCGGAAACCGATTAATTTTCTTTTTTTTTCGCTAAAATTTTTTCCAGAATTTTCAGAATCCTGATCAAGTATCATCTCTGTTAAAATGATCAACCAAGTCTGAAAAAAAAATCTCGATACCCCAAAACCTGTAATAGAAGGGCCTCCTAACTTTCAACTTTATGTCGATTTATCTCGGTTCCTGTAAAAGATTTGAAAAAATTGCCAGCTAATAAATTTTTTATTATAATATCACAAATATTTTAACAGGTGAAACATTTTTGATATTTCTTATATGGACCAAGATAATTGAGCTTGAACTTGACAGTGTGGGTGCCCTTCTATTACAGGTTTTACGGTATACCAATAAGATATACTAAAACGTAGTTTTCAGTTGATTTTGACCATTCTCAGAAGTCTGGAGCTCTGTTGTCAAGTGTCCAATTTTTGAAAATTTTAGAGGTTGTAAAACAGACTCAGATTGAAAAATTTGCATTCACAGAATTTTTGTAAATTCTCAGTTTATCAGCTAGATGCCGATTTCCGAAAGACATTTTGTTTGGACCCTGAGAACTTAAAATACAGGTGTTCATTCAGCAATCGGCAAATAGCTAAAAAACTAGAATTTGTCGAACAATTCTGTCATTTCAATCTAGCTCTCTTTCACACCCTACAAAGTTTTCAAAGTGATCCGACACTTGACAGCCGAGCTCCAAACTTTTGAAAATTGTCAAAATTCACTGAAAAACACATCTTGTTGACGAATACTGTAAACAAGCAACACATCACCATCCCATCTGCAAATTACTATTCAATGAACTAGACAACTTTTAATCTTCCCTGCTTGGAAAAAAAATCTTTTTAAGATTAAGGTTTCCGTTTTTTTTCTGTTACATAGGTGTGGATAACAGAAAATAATCCTATTTCTGATGCGAGATTATCGAATAACCAAGAAAAAGTTAATCTTATAATTCACATATACCGTAGTCTTGCTGTTTGATATTAATAATGTTCCAGTAAAGCCCGATTTGTGTGTGATTATCCATTTAGTTTCGAGGATAGACTTTGGTACGGTACATTTGTTACATCAACAGAGTCAGTGATAATTTGGATTGACATTATTAATAGCTGTGAGTCAAGTGAATGTCAGACTGGGTTTTGATTTGGTCATTGGATGATCACATCGTGTAAAAACATGTTTTGCGTTTGTATTGACAACATGCAAGTATTTGGAGCTCATTAGGAGCAAATCTGTACATCACGGTCTCATTAGCTGTTTTTACAGAATAATCGTAATATTTTGTGATGCAAAAAACAATGTTATGTTTTCCATTAATATTCTATACGATTGTTTTCAGAAACAGGCATTATAGTTATATAATACTACTGTAAAATGAGTCATTCGTGTTTTTCAACAAACGAGGCAAGCTTACAAATTGAATGCAACTACAGTATCTGCCAATCGAAAAATGCCAAGATTGAAAGGAAGTTTGTTTTCTATTTCTTATTACGGTAATTGAGTAGCGTTCGTCAGGTTATTTTATTAATGAGATTGATATTAAATACTAAAACACGCTGTAAACAAAATGATCAATTAAGATTTTCTTTTCTGACTTCCTTTTTCTGATTGTTTATGAAAACGCAAATCTATTTGTGTTAGGAAAGATTATTGGTTATTGAGATCTACAAACAATCAAAATCAGTGATTGAAGAATTCTTGCAACGGGCCGGACCAAGCAAAGAACAGAGTGAAGTTCAAAATTTATGGTAGGGGAATTTTTACTGCCCCGGGTTTTTGAGGAAAAATTTTCAAAGAATCAATTTTTGAGAGAAAATTGGATTATTGTGGTATTTTAAGAATATTCCTCTGATTTCAACTTTAAGAAGGAAACTGGGCAGAATTGATCATTTTAACAAAAAAAAACGTGGTGACCCAACCCGCAGGACGGGCCGGTCGGGCGTCTGACAATTTTTCTTCAGACCGTTTTCTCTAAAAACAATTTTAAAAAAATTGAGCAATTTTTAGATTCTGAAGTCACCATTCCGTCTTTTATTTGTGAAATCTTCAAAAAAAATTACAAAGCAATCTATTGTTTATAATTGATATTTTTGAGCAACGTTTTCAGTAAATGAGTACAGGTTCAAAACTAATGAAAACTTTGAAAAATTCGGAATTTATCTTCTATTTTTGTGTTGTTTAGGTCCCAATTATTTATGATGATGAACTAAATCGTAAGCTTCCTTTTTTAACTGTAAATGAATTTTTGAAATGAAATTACTTTTATTTGAAAATCAGTGAAACGTGAGAATTTTTTCCCAATAGGATACCATTTCTGAAGTTTCAAGTTAATCTTCCCTGCTAAGATTCAAAGAAAACATTACCGAGTTTGCAAAGTATCAACGGTGAGTCAAGGCTCCGAAAAACAAACAAACATATTTTTCAGGAACGGACGGAATTGAGATATTATTTGAAAATGATGCATTTCAAATGTCAAAAAGAATTAATAAGACTGAGGATGTCTGGAAAATCCTAATATCTAGTTGTGTCGTTGATTTCCCTGCTATTCGTAGAAATGCTACACAGAAATTCTTCAGACAGACAAAAGTGCAAAAAGATAACTGGATTTTATCTTTCGAAATTCCAGGATGAATTTCATAATATTATGTAACACCTATATAATGAGCTTTTTCGTTTTGAAATAATTCAGTTTCTTTGCCTCAGGTCTTACGGTAGA